TTGTTTTTCCCGTAACACTATTGCTGTAATATGACCCAACTCAGATAATTTGTGTCACGGCTCGGATGTAATTTGTTTCCTACAGGTTCATTTTCTAGAAACTTGGTTTCTAATGTGGCAGTACTAGGAGGTTGAGAACCTTTAAGAGGTGAGGCTAGCAAGAGGGGATTAGGTAATGAGAATTGCACCTTTGGAGGAATTAATGCTGCTCTTGCAGAGGACGTTGGTTCTACTGAGAGTGAGTTGTTAAAACACATCAAGCCTATCCCTGTGGCTTCCTGTCTTGTCATATGATCCTTTTCATTTGCATTTAACTGATTGCCTTTCTGTTTCTCCACTGTGTTGTGACCCAGTCAAGGAGATTTTTACCAGGGACCATACAGATATGGTTGTTTGATCATGGATTTCAGGAAACTTTGAGCTAAATAAACCTCAGATATTTTGTTACAGCAACAGAAAACAGATGAATATACAACTGCATAGGCCTTCTCTCAGAACCATAATACTATATACCCCAGAACAACATTCTCCTTCCTCCAATTCAAACATTCTCAAATTATTACTTTTCTAAAAACAGCATATTTATTATGTATTAATTTTTCTGTCCATGAATACTATATGTTCTCATTACTTATTATGTGTGGCATTCCTTCTCTGAAAAGTTTTCACGGGTTGTTATTGCCTATTGGATTAAGTGCAGATGCTTTGGATTCAACCTTAGTGGAAAGGAATTAGGTTACAAAGACATCGCAAGCACCATCATGAATGTGTGCTTCTGCATTTCTCTTCATGCCAGTCTACCATCATAGAATGTCAAAAGAACCTATTAGATTATTTAATTAAACATTTGTGAAACACCAACTGCAAGAAAGCAGTGAATGAAGAGCTGGGAGAATTCAGATTGAGGAGACAACCCTTGATTCTCAAGGTTTTTGCACATTAGTAGGAAAACAAACTCATACACAAATATCAGAAAGGATTTAGCCCAGCCTTGAGATTCTAAGAGAAAACATGCTGCTAATTTGTCTAACAAAGGGATGTTTCTAGAATAAGATACAAACACACATTTATAGAAGCACTTCTCATGAGACTTTGTATTTATGGAAGTTTCCTAGTTTAATAAGATTTGAAAAAATAAAGACATTGTCAACTAATTATAATGTCAACTTCTAAAATTTATTGTCTTCTTACTATGGGCTAACAATGTGCTAAGTACACAAAAGTATCATTTAGCTCTCATAAAAATACCACCATATAGATATTATGGTTATTATTTTTCTTAGGGTAATTCGAATTTTACTACTAAGGAAACTAAGATACAAAGAGGTTTAGTAACTTGCCTAACATCACACAGCTAGAAAATGGCACAGAATTGAACTATAGGTAGTTTGACTCAGGTATATCTTCTACAACATGACTATTTTACAAAGAGGAGTGGTGAAGAAAGAATACAAGTTTTGTGGAAGTGGGATAGGTGAAAGGAGATATGGATGGATAACTGCTGGAGGTTGATCACAGAATTCAGCTACTTTTCAGCACCCAAGGCAAAATGGAAAATAATGTGATTTACATAAGCCAGGTCACCTGAAATATTCACAGAAATCTAAAAGAAACTAATAATCACGTTCCTCATGCAAGGGAGACCTTGAATGACCTAGTGTACAATATCTCACACAAGACCATTTTAAATGTACTAAAATTGACTATTAAAGCAAGAAAAAAATGATAAATTGAAGTTGTGTAACAAAAGCATATGGAAATGAATTAACATAGTACATTTATTACCTTCTAAGTTAACTAGACACAGAACAGGATAGCTGGTTAACGTTATATTTTAAATTGCAAATCACAAACTATTCATTGGTCATGAAATCAACTGAGTGAATAAAAGACAGCCTTTAGTAAACTACACACATTTATTTACATACATGCATGTGCATATATATGTATGTGCATCTCAAGTTTAAGGACAAATATAATAAAACTCTTTGTATGTCTACTGGTTGTGAGCATCATCGTATAAATATGATTCATATTTTAAATATTTTTTTCAAAGTTTGAAAGCCACTCAGATGGGATTTTGTCAAAAACTCCATCAAGAAAAACATCGGGCTGTAGTCATTAGAGAGAATGCTTGAAGTGCACTTTGAGTTGCTGATTACAAAAAGACCTTCACACTTTAGATTTCAGGCAGGTAAGTGCAAAGGAGGTCCTTTTGTAATTAAAGAGGTATTAATTTGCACTGAAGAGTGTCTTATTTTTGCAGAGGGGGACCACAGGAAAGTGTACAGAAGGGCCTAAGCATTCCTCATGACGAGCTGAGTTCTGTTTGATCTTTTCAAATGCACCAGTGGCCCCTCACTCCACCCTATCCACTACATTTAGGATAACTATGAGGCCTGGACAGTTCTGGTTACATAGCTATCTGGTGTAATTATTAATAGCTTGCCTTTTTATGCCTCAAAATGTCTTGATAGATGATAAATTACATGATCACCCTTTCTACAGCAAAGAAAAATGTCCCTAGCCTACATTTTCAGGAAAAAGCTGTTCGCAAAAGACTTTCTGTCCATTCATTCAAACTGTGATTTCCTTGTTTCTTTTTCTCTGGGAAAACTTTCTGGGATACACGTGTTAGAGGAAATTCCATGCTTTCTGATATAAGATGGTCAATAAAGACCAGTACAGTATTTCTCGGACTTAGTTCATGGAGTTGGGGGTTCTCAGAACATTCTCATGCAACTGAGCTTCCAATGAGAATTTGAATACTTGTATAGCTTATTTTGAAGTTATTCTAAAGTTGTAGAAAATAGAATATAGGTATAGATTCCAATGTACATAAAGGTGTTGATATTATTGAGTTAAAACCAACCCACATTATTTTAAGATTTGTGAAAGAATGTAAAAACACCAAAATGTTCTTAACATATAAATTCTGTATTTATGGGAAGTTGGGGAAAAAACGCAAGCTTTTCTGTAAAGTCAAGTACAGAAAATTAAAGAAAGAATTGAGAAATCATACAATGAGGATTGGCTGATATACATTGATCTCCAAAGTCCTCCACGTTAATAGTTATGTACTTGGTCAGACTTCATGTGGCAATATAGTTTCAACAGAACAGGGTTATCTGAGATGACAAATTAAATCTGTTTATTCATTTTTGCAGTACTAGACATTGAACCCAGGGCCTCCTCATGCATGCTAGGTACTAGGCAAACACTCTACCACTGAGCTATATCTCCAACCCTTTTTAAAGAATTTATTCTGAGACAGGTCTTGCTAATTCACCCTGGTAGGCTTCAAATTTATGATTCTCCTGCCTCAGCCTCCCAAGTAACTGGGACTATGGGCATGTGCTGCCAAGCTCAGCTCTATTTATATATTAACTCTTAAAAGCTTTTACAAAAGTTGGCAAATTTGTAAGTTGTATAAAACTATAATGGATACAAAACTTTAGACATAATTCTGTTTGTTCATTTTAATACATATTTCTAATAAATAAGGTTCTAGAGAATGATTTTGCTTTTTAAAAGGGGTAGTTATATTACCAAAGTTTAAAATACATGAGAGTGAAAACATCATAACTGGGAGCATAAGACTGATCTGCTGCTGCTATAGATAAACAGAAACAACCAGGCACATTGTCTTGACAGGAATGCTAATTTATCAAAATGAATGTACTTGGACAAGAAGTGAACAATTAATGTAGCTAATTGTCCTCTTCAATGAGGTTCTTTGATCTCCTTCTCCCTTGTTATTCTCATTGCTTACTCACTCCTTGAATAGCCACTTTTTTTTATCAACTCCTCTTAGACCTATTCTGGTTCTCTACTATTATCTTTGTGTTTTCTCCCTTACCTTCTGTATATTTCAGTTATGGGTCAGGTGATATTTACAAAGAGAAGAGACTGGATTAAATAAAATATCAAAGATATAAATGCCTTAAAAATGCCAAGTATACAATAATAGCTCTAAAAATATTCACTCTCCTTAGAGATAATCTATTTTACTTTTCAGATTAGGCCACCAAAGTTTAGAAAGTTTGAGATCTATCTAATGTCACTGATCAAGTTAAAAACTATAGTTATAGATCACACTAATTTTCATGTTAAACATACACACACACACACACACACACACACACACACACACACACACGAAACACTTAAAGGGCAACTGATAAGTCTATAAAGAATAAAATGTTCCTAACCTCTGCAAGTGCTACTTTAATAATCTATTTTTGACTGTCCTTGATGCGCTACAGTACAATTTCTTTTTCTATTTTAAGAGATTCTCATCTGCTTTTCTGCCCTTGGATATTCCTTGTAGGCTTAAAGTATCCTCCAGAAGACAATTATGGATTTATCCATTGGCATTCCAATCTTATTAAACCTATTTCATTTCGATTTTTTCCCACACTATGCATGCCTAAGCATGCCCATGATATAGTAGATCCTCTAATTTATATCTCTCAGTCAAATGCACAAGATTTTGAAAGTGGTCTGACTACTCTCTCATTATGGAAAATCTGAGTATTTCATCCTGAGATATACCTATATTATTGCCAGTATCAGAACAAAAAAAAAAACCTCTTGTATTTAAAAATATGTAGAGCACTTTGTAAAAATAGCATCAGATCCCCTAGTAGAATTCTAATTAATTATACAAGGGAAAATGTGGCAAGTTATTTAAAAGACATCCCAACCAATGAGCTGGTACCCTCTAATCATTGTGATAATTATATTTCCTCAGTTGGCTTATTCAGGTTTTAAGGGAGAAGGTAAAATAATGTAACAGAGGGAGAGAAGGAGGCAGGGAGGGATGGAGGGATGAAGAGAGAGAGAGAGAGTGTGAGAGAGAGAGATCAAAGCAAGAGGGCCTATTATGGAAGGCTAAGGGCTCAGATCTCCACCTGTAGTGTCAACAGTAGGCTAAAGAATTTTAAGTGGGTGTGTTAGCTAGAATTTACTATAACAAATACCTGGGACAGTCAATTTATAAAGACAGGTTTATTTTGGCTTACATTTTTGGACATTTCAGTTTTACGATTGAGCAGGCATACTCTTTTAGGCTTCTGGTGGGGAGGGGTGCACCACCAAACCGTTCGCCCCATGGTGAGGAAGTTACAGAGGAAAAGTCTGGAGTCTCTCAGTCCTCTTCAAGGCCATGTTCCCAATGATGTCAAACTTCTCACTAGGCTTCAACCTATTAAAGGTTCTACCATTCCCTGTGATCATTAACTGATTGTGTTGAGTAATAAATGCCCAACCAAATTGGATCAGCATAGTTCTGAGTATGACTAAGGGATTTACTGAAGACAGAAGTCTCACCCTTGGGTGTGAATGGCACCAACCCATAGTCTTGTTGCCTGAATGGAATAAAAGGAAAATGAAGAAGAAAGGCTCAGTTCTGTTTCTTTGGAAGAGCTCCAGGCTTTACCTTCACCTTGAACTGTCTCCTGGCTTCCATCACAAGGTCCTTCAGCCTCCTGATAAGTACTCACCCAGGACACTACAGGGAGCTCCAGGCCTTCAACAGGATCCTTTGGATCTCCAGCGTGCACAGTCCTTCTGCACTCTTCCACGCCTCTGTGGGAACCCATTGTAAGCCTGTATATATATATATATAATCTTGTATTAAATCCGTTTCTCCAGGAAGCACTGACTGATACAGATTTTGGTACCTAGAGTACCAGGAGATGTGTTTATCTGTTCAATCAAGGACTCCACATCCAGTATACTTCCCAATAGCACCATACACCAGTGTGCAAGCCTTTAACACATGGACCTTTGTAGAACATTCCAGATCCAAACTATAGCAGTAGATTAATGACATGATAGAGTTTTTTGTAGTAACATTTTTGCATCAATAACAGAAAGTGTAGATTGTGAGATGAGGTGGCAGGTAGGAAAATGAGTGGGGAAGAAAAGTGAAAAGTGTAGGTGACCTTTCAAAATAGTCAGTTAAGACAGTAAGGCTTTAGATAACGCTAAGTTCTAGGTAATGTTCAGGAATGCAATTTGCTGCACACAATGGAGACTAACAGTGTTGAAGAAGAGGAAATTTTTAAAAAAGTTAGAATATTGGGTAGTTTTTCCACAGAAATGTTGAATTTAGCCACAGTGGGGTAGGCTTTCCAATGGAGAAGATTTGAACCAAACACTAAAGTCCTCTTTGAATATGTAGTATAAGACCAGAGAGTTTAAAACCTAAACATCATTGGGAGTTGTAATGCTTCCAGTGTATCAAATCTCTTCATATCTTATCACATTATCCTCTGCTCCTGAAACATGTTTGACTGACAACATAGGCCCTGCCCCAGAGTGATGTCCTGGATCTCACTTAAACTTTCCCTGTTTTAATAATCACCTTTTCCTTGCTTCTACCAACTTAAATACCATGGCATAGAAAAGAAATCTGTTAACTATATATAGTTAGATTAACCAGATAGCTCAAAACAACTTATCTGTGGCTAAACTGCAGCTTCATGTGGATGATGTAACATATCATCTGTACCATAATATACGACAAATAATCCTTTTTCTTTTTGAGACAGGGTCTCACTATGTTGCCCAGTCTGGTCTCCAACTTCTGGGCTCAAGCGATCCTCATGCTTTTGCCTACAACTGTACATTACCACACTGGGCTGATAAAGCAATCTTTTGTCGAAGACTATAGTTAATTTGTGTCAATCTATTGTATTTATTAGGCATTTGATATAAACTAGTTCTTATAATGAAGAATGATCAATTCAAGGACTATCCATCACATGAAGTGTGGTACAGCCAGTTTTGCTAACTACTCATGGCTGAAGATATTACTCTGGACAATTTCCAGTGGCATCAGAGCTGGCTGTCACCACCATATCCCCCCTTTCCTTTTCTTAACAGGTGGCTGCTATGGGCCGGGGATTTAGCTCAGTGGTGCCACCGCCTGCCTCTCAAGTGCGAGGTCCTGAGTTCAATCCCAGGTACCAAAAAAAAAGAGTTGGCTGCTATGATCTATGAACCAGCAATAAGCCTTCCCTACCAACACCATCTCTTCAATCAAAGTTCTCAAGTCTGCTCATTCTTGTACACCTTCCCCAATGATTATTGTTAATACCAGAGCAGGGAAAGGTAGACCATTTTGGAAAAATCAGTAATAGCTTGTTTGGATAAATAAGGAATCTTTTACTCCATAACTTTATATTTATAAGCTAATAAAAGCTCCATTCCTCTTTTTTTCCTCTTGCCATTGCTAATCTCTGGATTGTGTCTGTTATTGTTACTGTATGCAATTTTATTCCCACCTGTTTTAAAAATTAGGACAAAACTGGATCCTAAAGTCCTGGTTTTTGTTTCTCAGTAAGCTGTACATTTTTAGTTTCTGGTGATCCTGCCAGATAATATACTTATCCATATTTAATAGGCTTTCCCATAGCAATATGCCGTGGAAAATTCCTTTTGACAAGCCATAACAAGTTTAATTGAGTCATGATGTATACTATTAAATAGCTCCTGATGAGGCAAACTTTCTTTCTTAAGGTAGCATATGCTTTCACAGGGTTTTAGAATGACTGTGGTCTCACATGACTAAGGAAATTACTTTCTTCATTTGTAAAGTACAGAGGTATGGAATTAATGTTTGAGTTAACAAATTACATTTTAAAGAGGTATATGCTCTACCAGGCTTTATTCTTCATTAGATTTGGTGAAACCTATTTAAAAAATAAAATATAGCATTGGATTACAGGTCAATTTTTAAATGATGTTTACTGTATTAATTATTCCCTAATGAAAATTTTGAGTCAATTCTGTTTATATTTTAAATGTCATGCGATAATGTTAATAGAAACTATTCTGCCACGATAGTGCTTCTGGTTCTCTCCACTGACTTTCCAGCCTGAAGCCATTCAAATTCTGACATTACTTTTAATGTTTCAGGACAGATGCTCTTAGATCTTTTAGCACAAGTAGTAGATTATCGGCATACATGAGTTAATTTGTGAACCTCCCTCTGAATATTCCTCAGATGCCCATGGGATCTGGGTGATATTATAGCTCCAAAATCAGCCTGACAAGTAAAATCAATAATGGGTTTCATCCTTACTTCCCACCCCAATACAGCAATAAGGCAGAGAAAAGTAAATTGTAAACCACTGATTTTGAACCATATAAATGGGTTGAAAATAAATTGGGCTATCTACTCTATTTGTCCCCAAAGTCAAATTTACCTAACACATAATACAAGCAGTCCCATTCAACTGCTTCAAAGGACTCCTCCTCGGCATCTAATAAAATTGTAGCTATTGGCTCCAATTTTTTCTTTGTATTCCAGATGAGTTAAATTAGCCTATGGAAATTACCTGATGCTTCTCTCTCAGGAATGAAGCTTTCTTGGATAAGAATCGATGAGATTTGTGATTATTTAGTCATGTAGCAAGTGCTCAGGTAGCTGTTATTTTATACCCCCCTATACTATAAAAGAAAATTTTTTACAATAATGCTAAGGGAATAATATGTAACTGTAAGTTTAAGAATATATGGATATATGTAGCAGGACAAAGAACCACAGGCCATCATGATTCTAAACCACAGATATCTGATACTTTAAAAATTCAGTGCAAAGCATTTAAATGCATTACATTTATTCATAGTACATTTCTGAAACTAGTGTCTGTTCAGTGTGCTGTGGGCAGTGAGAAGTTAATGTGTTGGTAAATGACCAAAATTTTTGTAAAGCTATTTTGAAAGTGGCTCAGTGGCACAGAAAATACTACCAATTACTCCTTTTCAACTGACACTGCAAGGTTGCTCCAAATTTCCAGTCTTCAGTTTAGTATCTGCAAAAGAAAATGGAAGGCACAAAATACCTCCTTGGGAAATTTCTGAATATTACAATCACAAGAATACAATTCTTTAGAACATGCTCTGAAATATTTCAAAGTTTTTTTCCCCTGAGTATTAATAAATCCTTTGAAGTCCCCAACATACAGAACTGCATTAAAAAAGAGAGCTAAACAATGGAGAATATGAGCAAAGCCAACTGATCATCTTGAGAGTTTCTTCAAACCATACTTTGGCAGAATAATATATGGAGACGGACTGGCAAAGGAGCCCGCTTTTTGTTACTGATGTTACTGTTTTCTTTATAGTGGTACTGAGGATTGAACACAGTCTGTTTCCACTGACCTACATCCCCAGCCCTTTTCAGAAATTGTTTACTTTGGTGAAACAGATTCACTGTTATCTATGTGGGCTCGAATTTGCAATCCTCCTGACTCAGCCTCCTAGAGTGCTGGATAATAGGCACACATAGTTGGAGTAAATTTTAATTTTGTCTCTACTCTTCTTTCTTTAATAGTAGTGCATGTTTGGAGTACATAGTGATTACATTCATTGTAAGGAACTGGTACATATACATAACAATCTTAATTATTTTTACTTCCCCTTGCCCTCCACCTTTTGCTTCTTCCTCCCATCTCTTACTAGTGTAGCTTTGGAAAACTATAGACAGCACTGGGCTTTGGTTTTTTCATTAAAAAAAAAAATTTTTTTCAATACTCACAATTGGAAGTTTAAAGAACAACAACAAAAAAACATATAAAGAATTAAATCAACTAATGCACAATGTTTGCTCCTGCATAATTATTATTAATAAAGTATATGTATATACATAACATATACATAGCTATGAATATGTTTTATACATTAGAAAAAGTCTAACTTGATATCATACCAAATATTTAAATTAAGCTTTGTAGCACTGTATTGGGAAAATAACATTCAACAAAATGTACAGTGAAAATTTGCTTTGTGATTAATCTACACAAAGAAATACTTTTAAACTTATATCTGAAGACAGAATTTCAAAGATAAAATACAAACCAGTAAGTACAAATTTAAAACAAACAACCTTTGTGCCATTATCATTAATCTTATGTAACCCAAGATATTTGGGTTACAAAGAGATGTAGCTTTACTTAAATACATTGACATAAAAACGTTCTTAATAAAATAGGACTTTTATTCTTCCTAGGACTTTCCAGGTATGTGAATCTGATTACACATATTTGCAAAACACAAAATAGTTAATTAGCAAATAAGCTCTAGTTTAAATGAACAGAATAAAACAATACAAATATATTCAGTTTGTATTCCTATAATCAAAAGGTTTTTTTTAAAGGCTAATTTCCAAATTTACATTGAAGTATGCTACAAATTTTTCTTATTAATTAGAAAAATGTTTGGACTCAAGTGAAGCAGTTGGAGAAAACGCATGCTCCAAAACTGAAGCTAAAATCCTAAGTACATATAAAACAAACATGCAATATTCCCACGATATGTAAACAGAAAGAGCCAGTTAGAAAATTGGTATTGGGTGTTGGTAACAGTATCATCCACTCTCATTAGGCATTACCCTCTTGTGTATTAATATAGGACATCATACTCTCATATAATATTTGATCACACAGTGAAATAAAGAGCTTCTCCAGATTGCAACTGTAAGATAATCAGATTCTGTAGTGCTCATTATGACTGCAATTATGTAACAAAACTCTCTAAATATAGTTCAGTTATTGCAGTTATTAATCATTCTGGTTTTGTTTCAAGTACTTGCTTTATAG